TTTAAAAACCTATATACTAATAGGTAAGTATACACTAATATATAATATGTGATAATAATGTGATATTTTAAGCTGGAAGTGCTTCGCTGAAAAGAAAATTCCTTCTTGCACAATGTGCAAAATACTTTTTGGTCAACTGTTCTGTCTTTATTATTATTATTTTTTTAATACTCAAATTTCCCATCGAGAGAGCCAATGTGCATTCATCATCTTCCACACTGAGCTGATTGGTTCAGCTGCTCGTCACGACCAGATCAGCTCCCCATTGGCGCATGTGCGAAGGTAACTCTACTTGGATAAACTGCCCGAAATGCGTTGACAGAAACATTTCAGGGATTTTGATTGATTCTGCACTCCACATGCATTAAATGCATTAAAACTACTGATGCTGACAAGTCAGTTAGCCATTTGAAATCATTTGAGAAGCAGATCAAATGCAAGGTAACCTCAGCTCTGCTATGAACTCGGATGTAGCTTCCGATTTGGAAAAACAGAAAAAATATAAAACCATTTACAATTTTTTGGGACAACGATGACGCCAACACGGCCTTTTAAAGAACTATTATAGTATCATTGTACCTTGATAAAAAGCCACAAGCTAAACGTTTGTTTAAAGCTCCACGTTTAACCTCTTGTAGCACTTTTTTGGTCTCCACCAGTTGAAAAACGCAGCTGTTAAACTCTATTTTCATTTCTTCTCAGTTTGAACAGTAAGGTGCTGCTGCTCAGCTGCAAAACCAAAACAATGAGCTGAAAGACGCTGTGGGTCTCCGAGTATGATCCACCTATTTCGCATTACGTGCAGTTGTCGAGATAATTGTTGAGTAATAAAATAAATCAGCTTTAAATTCGATTAAATCTTTCTATCTTAATGTGAAACTGGAACGACGCTACAGACCTCGGCTGGTTTGTAGCGTCACAATAAGACCAACTAAGTTCTTGTTTGGACCGAGGCACCGAGCCGTTGAATTGACCTCTTTCATGTTGCTTTTCGCTCCCCGATTGAATCAATGTTTCATGCTTTGTTATGTATTCTGACTGTGAGCATGCTGCATCCAATTCTTCACATACCCTTGCCTAAAGTGAAGTGTGTTGAAGCTCAGAGACAGGGCAGCTGTCTCCCACTTGTTGGGACTCGGAGCTGAACTGTGTGGTCACCGAGCGGATTGATGGGGGGAGCCGTTGCCTACGCTCGGCTCCAAGTTGCATCAGCTAATCTCGTGAATAATGCAGAATCATGAATAAACATAGATGAATGTATTGCAGTACTGTAAAGGAGACCTTTCCCTTATTTCTTCTCCTCTCCACCCCGCCTCCATTTTTTCTGCCCTTCTATCACTTTCAGCTTTTCTCCTTTCCCACAAAAACACCATTTCTTTCTTCCCTCCCTGCCAAAATCAAACACTCCCACTATTCCCCCATCCTCTGTCACTCTGTCTCCATCCTTTTCTTTTGCTCCCCGGCCATAGCAGTGACAGACATTGTAGAGCTGTAGCGCTGCTGTGTCTCAGTGCGGGCGAGTCGGGTCCGGCCTTCACTCTCAGCTCAATAGCTGCATGGGTTTCCTCAAAGGCAGCCATCCAGCCAGCACAAAGCCTGCCCACTGGGAATAGACCCACAAAAGAGAAAGGGGGCTGCTCGCCTTCTTTGCTCTGCTCCGTCTGAAGCGGCCTGCCTCCACCACCTCCTATAAATAATACAACGCTGCCTCAACAAAAAGAAATCCAGCCTTGCTCCCGCAAGCCACTGCTTCCATCTAGGCTTTATTCGCGCGATCGCGCCGCCCTTCCCCTGTCTCCCTTCTCCTCACCTCTTTTACCTCTGATTTTAGCAGAAAAGCTTCAGGAGCAGGGTCGTACATATTCACGTGCATATTACATTCAAGAATTTAGGCTCATTCTTTGAATACATCTCAGTATGCTGTGTAAATGCAACATTAAGCAAAACTGAAACCATCATGTAAAATCCATTTAATTGTAGCCAACCTTAAGAAACTAGAAACAGCTGATGCTGTATATCTGTGTAAACACAACTGTTCTCACTCTCTCAGATACACAGTAGGTGTAATTGTAAGTCATGCTTGTAAGGCTCCACTTCATACCACATTTAAATTCACTGGATAAATGTATTTTTATTTTTATTCACACCCGTATCCAAACAGTTTTGGGTGCCGACACCCAGCCTTTGGCTTTTAGTACGCTCGCCTAGCCAAGAACAAACAGCCAAAAAGCAAAGTGTCCTAATCTACCTTTAGCGCTCTTTAACGGAGCGTCGTTATCTATCTGCAAACAGTTTTACAAAGCATCCGTGTGCCATGGAACCTGGAATGGATTTTTTACTCAATTAATCCTTTTGTTATACGTTTTGTGAGTCCCCCAAATTTGAGATTTTTTTAATTTTAATATATTTAAGCAGAACCTCTGTCATTCATTTACAATCACTAAACTTCAAAGCACTGACATCCTGCACTTTGCTCTCACAAACAGCAGAGCAAAGCCCAGAGCAGCACAGTGATGCTCACATTCACAACACTATCATATTCTACAGTGTGCGGCTGTTTAGTGCTATATTGTAGCGTTATACTGGTGCATGAGTTACATTTGAGGGGAAGCATAAAAAGCCGTGTGCATGTGTTGGTGTAATTTGTCAGCGTATTAATGGGAATGTGTGCACAGGGATTAGGCTGCTATCAGTGCAGCTCTCCCAGCCTGCCAGGCTTTAGGCCTGCTTGGACAAAGAGGCTGATTTCAATGTAAATGCAGCAGCTGAGAGGACACAGCGCTCTCGGTGGGGTGACTTCCACCCTCCGCATGTGCACGCGCATGCACACACAGCGAGAGAGAGAGAAAGCCATTAGCCCCAGATCAGGGCACACACACACAAAATCCCTAGAATAGTAAATACATCGACTTTGTATCAAACCTTTTTCGATGAAACGTCGAGAAATGAAACACTGGAGAAAGTTGGTGACGACTAGATGAGGAGCTGCAGCGTCTGCTACATATATGCACCTGTCAGCAATTACTGATCTAATCTGGTCCACAGTGCACTGTTGTGGCCCTGTGTTGCTCCATCATTAGGCCAACTATTATCCCCACGCCTGGCCTCTGCACCTCTTATTACATGCAAATAGTGGCGCTTTATCTGAGCCCTGAAAGAGAACCCCCGTCTCTAAAGAATGGGACACCCTCTTCGCCTACTCAAAGCCATTCCTCCATCTATTACTGGATTCTCTGCTTTAGTGCAGGCGGCACAGATCTCATGGCTTCGGCGTTAAAAGAAAGGCCACGGTGGTCGTCAGGATGCAGATCAGTGTCAGACAGAGAACTGAGCGAGGGAATAGCTAATGACTTTCACGCTGTTTGACATTTTTGTGTTCTAAAAGACAATATTTTCCATTACATCACTGTTTGATTTTCTTCTTGTATTTATGAGAAAATCGGCTGATTAGTCTTATAAAAACCCAAAGCTGTACAAACATGATTGGACTCAATAACAGGAGCATGAGTGAAAAATAAATCCCACTGCAACATCAGCTCTTGGTAAAATCAATTATAAGAAATGATCCAACAACATTAGGCCCTTACATGTGTCACATATATAACGAAGATACATACATATGTATATATGTGGACAGATAAATATGCAGAATATATTAACAAAGCATGAACTGAGAGGAAACATCCAGGTTTACTACTGTTTAGCTAGTTATCCTCTATAAGGCCACACTGTATGCACAAAAGAATAACCTGAAACCATATTTGATCATATAAAGATATGTAACTCTGATAAAACACGACCATAAGCACTTCTTCAACATGTCTTGTTAGAAAATATTAACTTCATAGCATATCCCCAAAGCAGCGGCAGCCTGTGGCTGTGCATGCCTCACCCAAGCTACTTAGCTACTTAGCTAACAGCGCATTCAAGCATTTCAGGTAGGACTACAGATTTTGTGTTTATGAGTGTTAACCTGTGTAGCGTGATTAAATATTATGTGTGTTCAGAGGAACAGCAGGTCACAGATATTCAGAAAATGCTGTAGCTAGCATGACAATCCCAGTAAAGTGTTGCAAACGTCAGTTGTGGTCAGAGCAGTGTTGCCAACTCCTCAGTAAGGAAAATCGCTATTGGTTGTCCTAAAAGTCGCTAGAAGTCGCTAAATGATGTCACCGCCTAATTTGCAT